CCAAACCATTGAGGTATGTTACACTGAGAGGGACAGAGCATCCTGCTGCTGTTGGACTCCCCGGCTGGCCATGCTGCTGGGAGTTTGAAACCAACAGTATTCTGAAGGGCCGCAGGCTCCCTGTCCCAGGTACAGAGTTCCTGCAAGTGAAATCGTCATATGATGCCTTTCTAGGACACTTACAGCTAGTGCAACAAGTTTCACAAATGCTATCTGAAAGAGGAGGAGACTTCACCTTACTCCGGTGATGAGCAGATTGCAGCCTCTTTAAAAAGAACTAGGTAAAGAAATATGACAGTTGAAAGACTGTTGATGGAGGCTCATTGTTTAGCAACCTCACTTGTCTTTGTAGCAAGTTGAAATATCAAAAGGTTTTGGAATGGAACTCATGGTTTACTGTAAATATAGTTGCTGCAAATGTGAGCCTGTCTCATGTTCTGAACCAGGCGGTGCATTTAAAACAAGACTAAAACAATGCAAAATAGGCACTTGTGGCAAAGACCCATTTATTCAGCTAGGAAGGCCTGTTGGAACCAAATGAATGAGCAACTTGCCCCAGCAAAGGCTGAGACTGGCTGAGCTTCAGGATAGAGGAAACAACGTACTTATTCATGCAGCACATGGTTAAACTACGGAACTCACTCCCACAGGAGGCAAAGATAGCCACCAACTTGGAGGGCCTTAAAAGACGATTAGACAATTTCATAGATAAATGGGCTATCCATGGCTACTAGCTACAATGGCTGTGCTCAGCATCCATGATCAGAGGCAGTAATGCTTCTGAATGCCAGCTGCTGGAAACCACAGGAGAGGAGAGTGCCTTTATGCTCAGGTCCTGGTTGTGGGTTTCCCATAGGCATCTTGGTGACCTCTGTGAGAACAGGATGCTGGACTAAATGGGTGATGGGCCTGATCCAGCAGGCTCTTATTTTCCTCAAGCAAACGGTTTGCATTTATATGGTAGCAAATAGTCTCCTCAATCTGAAGACAGCAACTGGTAATAAAACAGTAATATTTTAAATAGGAACCACCATCCTTTTTTTTACAAAAAACACACAAATTTGTTGTTTTTTCTGATTGCAGGCTCAAGTTTCTTTGGGGCTTCTGCTAATGTGAAAAATAAGAATATTTACTGCTGAGGGACTGAGATCAGCACATAGATATTTTATGAAGGGAATAAATATTTTAAGATGCAAACACTGGAGTGTGTTGGCACTTCAAAACAGGGTCAGAGGATTTGTTCATCTTTCAGAAGTGTCGGTGTTTTAATGTATATCACTGCAAACAGTGAGCCTTTCATGATAAAGTAACGCCTCTGTTGCTTTTGCCAATTTGGGGGTGGGGGACCCACGCACACCCACACACAGCTCCTTTTTTGTTTCAAGAGATCACAAGAGTTCTGGTTCTATAAATAGTGATGCAGGAGACTTCTTCGTATTAAAGATGGAAGTTTTCAAAAGGCGATATTCTATCTGGAACCACACGGGAGGGACCACCGGAATAGCATCTCCCAGACAAGTTAACTTGTGTTTCTTTTAATAAAGATAATTTGGTCAGGACGAGCAGAGGCAAGGCTGTGCCGTCAGTCAACCCATGAAAGCTCATTGGTGTCTCACGGTTCTTGATGTTTAAGTTTGGACTGCTTGACCACCAAAGCTCAGGATGAAGAAATACTTTGCAAACTAAAATGATGGAAGTGAGCTCCCCCAGTTGTTAATTTTGGAGTTGCTACCAAACTGAACCCAACTTCACTCTGAATTCTGCTTCCGCCTTGAAGTGGTCTGCTGTCCACCTTCTCATCTGCAAGTTTTCCTGCCACCCATTTCTCACGTTTTCATACATGCACTAAGTTACAAAGTCTCTGTGTGTGAAAGAAGACACAAAATAGCTGCAAAAGGTAAAGCTGAAGGATGGGTTCACGTGTCCATGACTCCTCCCTGGCATTAAAGTCGCATCTAAAACTGATCCAGGAACACCTGGAGATTAAGAAGCTGAAATAGGAGTTATATGCCTGGCAAAGAGGTGACTTACATAATCACTACCAGGACCTCTTCTACCGGGTCCTCTACTGGGTCATTACTTGGACTTTCCTCTGATGACTCTGGATCTTCATCAGGTCCATTGCCACATTCACTCCTGAGTCTCAAATGGGGATGGGGAGAAAACGGGAATTAAGGCAAAGTTGAGGACATGGTTGGAAGGGTTCTTGAGGGGAGAGGGTGGACAAATACTGAGAAATGAAAAAGAGGATCCCCCCTTTTGACAGAATTGGATGAAATTTTCAGGCGTGGTAGCCTCGTCAGAGTGAATAAAACCTACAGAATTACAGGCAAATAGATATGGAAGCCTTTGTGCTGGACACCTTAAAATTGATTTTTGGGGTGTAAGAACTAAAATAAAATAAAATACTTCCTGGGTAAAATCATTCCCTCTGACCACAAGTTATATCTCTCATTCACAAAGGAATTCCACTTCCTAATGCTTCTAACTCCACAATTCTGTGTATATTAGGAGAAGGATGCACTAAAATACTGAGAAAATTTCACAAGGACTTTAATAAATAAATAAATTTGCAAACTGCTGCAGAAATATGGTGCCCTGAACTTAAGATGGTGAGCATGAGAGACTGTGAGAAATCGACAGAGCCACCCATCCCTAGTTTTTTTTTTACTCTTAGTCAAAAGGGGCAATTTTATTTTTATTTTTTTATGGCAGAGAAAGCTCTGTTATGCTAGCAACAGTCAAACAGATGACCTCCTATAACCTGAGCCAGGAGAATATGCTTAGAATTTGCTCGTGAGACATAAAAAGAAACAAAATAGCAAGGCTGTAGCTGCTGTCCGATTTGTAACATTATTCAAACTGTAATCATGTTGATTGTATTGCATTAGCATTCTAATTTCCAATTTGGGGTTTTGCTACATAATCTCCAGTAGAGTACATCTAATCTTCATGCAACTCGAAGTCTTTATATAAACTCAACGGATTTACCTCCATGTGTCTCTGCTAAACTGAGCTGTGTCTTCTGGCTGAGCTAGAGAGACGTTAAATTACTAAGTAAATCAATACAGCATTGTTATGTCACTGTATCTTTTTCAAAGACCAGCTCAAATTTTGTCTGATGTCTCTTTGATCCATCCCATTTAGTTCTAAGTACACTTGTTATTATAGTAACTGTTGTTTGTATGTTATGTTAGCTTTTTCTTTTTAAAAAAATCCCAAAAAAAACCTGAAGTAGCTATTTAGCAATTTAAATGAAAATGTAATTAGGTTACATCTGTTTTACATGCACGTAATACCACACAGATGTAAAACTTCTATTAAAGCCATATTTTCTTTCAGGCAAACGCCCTCCCTTCACCCTCCTCTCCCCCATCCAAAATTTTGCAACCATGAAGCGAATATTTATTCTTTTTAAAAAATAAAGGTGACACACACACACACAACTTATATGAACCTGAAAGAAACAAAGCTGTGTATTCCTAGAAGAGAGTAGAAATGACAAAATGAATGATATGCTAATTCTTTTATTTATGAGTTTGGCTTTAAATAGAAGACACAGTTTTTGAGTAATTAAGACACATCAATACTTTCCTTTTTCTCTTCCGGGGAATGGTTTCTGGGTGTGTGTGCGGGGGGAGGAGAGCTCTGTCAATCTTTATTTGCATATGTTAATTAATTTAAATAGCACACGAATTTAAAAGGCAAAGAAGCAAGCAAAAGAACAGAAAATTCAATACTCAATGGGTGGACTGTTCGTCTTGGACTTGTGGGATCCTGAGTTCACTGGGTTGAAGTCTGCTTGTTGAGACGTTAGATTAAAATAAAGGACACTGGCAGTGGTGGAAATGCTGAATAAGTTTTCAGGATTGTTGCATGGTCTCCAGCATCAGCTCTGGCTCTGCATTCAATAGGAGCCACACATTGAAAGCACTTGAAGCTATGAAATGGGAAAGAGGAACATGCCATAGAACATGACATGGCACTGGATGATCTGTCTCAATATTTTCTGTTCTGGGGAAAGCCAACCTGGTGACCTCCAGATTTTCTGGACTATAACCAGCCCCAGCCAGCATGGCTGATGATCAGGGGTGGTGGGAGTTGTAGTCCCAGCAACATCTAGAGCAATGTTTCTCAAGCCTGGATCCCCAGCTGTTGTTGGACTACAAGTCCTATCATCCCTGACACTGGTCCTGCTAGCTAGGGATGGTGGTAGTCCAACAACAGCTGGAAACCCAAGTTTGAGAAGCACCAATCTAGAGGGTACCACGTTCGTCTTGTGGTCTATTTCAACTGACAGCATCTTTCCAGGGGGTCTTTCCAACTCTGCTGAGAGCCTTTTAACAGAAGAAGCCAAGGATTGAACCCAGGACATTCTACATGCTGAGCCACTTGACCACAGTCCCTGTGAGAAGCTATGAACCTCAGCTCAACCTTGGCATGTTCTGTGGCTTTCACTTTAGGCAAACTTAGGGAGCTATGCCTTTCACTGTTGTGCTTATCAGGCATCATCTTCTTATGCCATTCCTGAAGATCCTAAACACCACCCTTCTACTGAATTACAGAGTGTGAATTTTGTTTCTGTGTATCTCTGCTATGATATTTGCAAATGAATCTTTCAGATTACTCTGCATCATGTCTGTGTCACAGCAACTCTTTGTCCAATTGGCTGTTTATGATATTGAACTTCCATGTATGGTTTATTTCAGGAGTAGGGTACCCTTTTGGCTCCACAGGCCAGATCCTTATCAGGATCTGCCTCGTGTGCCAAATTGGACAGGCGAATGGAGCCACCTGTCAATCACCTGCTGTCCTGGTGATTTGGTGCTTTGAAGTCCCAAAGTTGGAACTTCTAAGCACCACACATAGAGCAAGATGCTTCTAAACTGCAATTTCCCCCCTTCATTTTAGCAGCTGTTTCAATGTAGCATGCCCCCCCATCAAAAGCTAGTTTTTGGCTTCTTTGAAAGCCTATCCCTTACCTGCCTCACTTCTGACATTGTGTGTGACATCATGTGTAGGGCAGGTGAGCAGCGCCAAATGAGGAAGCCTAGCAGGCCAAGTTTGGCGCATGAACCAGAGGCTCACTTGCTATGTTCCCACTGTGTGGCAGCTTACTCTAACTGCCCTGGATATTTGTTGCCCTCTGCTGACTTTCTCCAAACCTCATCCTTAGGATAGGCCATAGTTCCGTAACAGAGCTTTGCATGCAGAATGTCCCAGGATCAGTTCTCAGCATTTCCAGGTAGGGCTGGGAGATGCTTCCTGCCTGAAACCCCAGAGAGCTGTTGTTAGCCAGTATAGATAATACTAAGCTAGGCAGACTGATGGTCAAACTTGTATAAGAAAGTTCCACCTGAACTTCATTCATCAATCCATTTGTAGGATGGGTGGAGAGCGCAGTTAAAAGGCTATTGTGACATTCCCTGACAATATTGCTTCCTACCACAAGAAACTTATGGGAATAGAAAATATAGCTGCTTCTCCTTTATTCTATGCTTTCCATGAAGAAAATGAGTGGTGGCTTATTTATTTTCCCCTTTCCTCCCCCCCCCTTTTTTTGTGCTGGAGGCAGCAGAAGGCATCATGGATGGCACTGTATGGTAAAGCTCATGGTGGGAGCAAAACCTTCTCCCATGGAGAATGGGGAAGAAATAAAAAAGTGACCCTGTCCTGCAAGTTTTGCAGCAGTGTCAGCAATGTCTTGCTTTTTTCTACCTTTAGATGGCCCTTCATTCCCATCTATAGTAGAGCTGGAGGAAGGGAGAGGGAAGGATTATTTCTCTCCCTTCCTGTTGGGATTTTCTTTTTCTTTTTTCTTTTTCTTTTTTTTTTTTTGAGAAAGAAGCACCAGCAACATACTACAGGTGCAGCCTGTAAAGCAGGATTGCGGAACAAGTGTGTCCCCCTGCCGCCCAATGATGCCAGACTCCAATCAAGTGACTTCGGTGACTCGCTTTGCTGAAAATCAAGTGTGCAGGCAAGTTGGCATCCATCCGTCTCAAGAGACAGTGCACCTCCGGGGGCGAAGTCAAACCTCTGTGCCAGCAGCACAAAGTGACTTTCCTGGCACCCAAGCCGAGGCAGTGTGTATGGAGGTCCTGGGCTGTGGTCCAAAGGGAAGCAGAGCAATAGTTTGGCACCAGCTTGGCTGCTGGAGTTGCTGGAAGAAGGCATGCAAGGTACCAACCTGGAGTCTTAGGAACTCCACTCCAGATTTGTGTAGGGTTTACTCCTTAACCTTTTCTTCTCCCAAAGGCAGTAGAGGTTTAGGATCGGTGTTTCCCTTCTCCTCGATGGGCTACCTTCCCAGGTTGATGAGCCCCATCTGCCTCTCAATTCCCTCTACAGTGCATGCATTGGACTCACAATTGGTCACACCCACTCAATCCTCCAGAGACTGTCTTGGCATGCAGGAGAAGACCTTAATTCACTGAGGGTTTGAGACCCATTGGCCACCTTCACCTGGTTTAGCCAACCAGTCAAAGCCTTTCCCGGGGTGTGGCAGTTATCGCTGACAGCTTCTAGGAGCCACAAGTGAGTGCAGAGTGGGGATTAAAAGTGGACAAACTACCCCAGAAGGATCACAACTTGTCCCGCACCAGAGGTACTACCGCTCCCCTAACACCCCATACACCTCATGGGCATAGCTTTTGAGGGGAGACAGCACTCGATTTATTCAACCTGGTGCCCTCCAGCTATTGCCAGGCAACTACTCCCAACAGCCCTAGCCACCAAAGGGTGATGAGAGCTGTAGGCCAAAGCTGTAGGGTGCCAGAGGTTGGGGAAGGCTGTAGGACACCAAACGATGGAAAGCCTGGGTCTAACCACTATTCATTTTGTATGCTCATCTCTGAGCCCTGGCATTGGCAACAGGTTGGGTGTCTAAGCCCCCATCAGCCCAGGGTCAGATGATGCCCTAACTTAGACCATTTGCTGCTGTTCTATTCAGAAGAGAAAGTGTGTGTGTGTTTAAAATAAAATAAAATAAAACACAGCCTGCCACATGTCTCCTTTTCCATCGGGAGTTTAAATAAAACTGTTAGACCAGCCCCAGTGACACGATTAATAACAATTATGGAAAGGCCTTCTTCCCTCTCCCCAGCTCCAACCTTTACCCCAGCATATAACATCTTTGCCTGTGTGTGTTATGACAGCCCCCATTGTTGATGAGGTAAATGAATATCTGTTGTGACTGCCAAAGTCGGGGAGAGGGCATGTGAAACTTGGATGCGGCAACAGTTCACGTCTCACCAGGCTTGATTTATTGCGTTGCAAGAGGGGCGAGGTGGACCCTAAATACCGCTCCGCCACTCACTGCTTCATTCCCCTTGTCTGTTAAATATGCAAGTACAAACAGCTTTAACACAGCACTTTACCTAGAAACAAGCCCCGGGCTCCATCCACATACTTTTAACATATGAAAATTGAGCTGCTTTGAACTTGTATGTTTTTGATAACTGCTTGGTATGCTTCCTGGAGGTTCACCTGTGGGCTTCCCCCCCCCCACTCCTTTCCAAGTCCTAATCCCTTTGATTAAGTGCCAGGACAGATAGCTCTCAATGAATTACTCCAGTCTCATAATTCTTCCTTCTTTCAGAGTTGAAAGGGAGCCTGCCTGAGCGTTCAATAGGTAAATCCTCTCGATTTAGCTTGAGCGATTCAGACTCTGCGAGACTGAGAAAATTGTTTGATTCCGAAGTAAGGTTCAGATGGGCTACCCAATGTTGGCATGCTGTTGGTTGCCAGAAGCTGTAGGGAGGAGGGGAGCGAAAGAAGAAAAAGACTCCAAAATAGCAAGTTGTTTTTTTTAACAAGGAGGATTAGAAGAAGGAAAACTTTGAGAAGCAAGAATCTAACTTGGGATTGCAACAGAAGCAGACAGCCAGGCCTTTAGTATGAAAACATAAGAACATAAGGAGAGGCTGCTGGATCAGGCCAATGGCCAATCTAGTCCAACATCCTCTTGCCACAGTGACCAACCAGATGCCTGTGGGAAACCTGGAAGCAAGACCAGCACAAGAGCACAAGAGCACTCTCATGTGGTTTCTAGCAACTGGTATTCCAAAGCGTTATTGCCTTCAACAGTGGAGGCAGAGTATAGCCATTATGGCTAGTAGCCTTTGATAGCCTTATTCCCATGAATTTGTCTTATCCTTTTTAAAGGTCATCTAATTTGGTGGCCATCACTGCTTCCTGTGGTGAGCTTTTTTACTCTGCTAAAAGGGCTTTGCAGCCTGCATACTCTCATATTTCTTCCACACATGTGGGGCAGAAGGTTTACATTTTAATTTATAGATTTAATCCACAATCCATCTCCATCAGTGCCTTCCAGATGTTTTGGACTGCATTCCCCATCAGCCCCAGGCAGTATGGCCAACGATCATACAAAATAGGAATGTAAGAAGCTGCCTAATATGAAGCAAGACCATTGGTTCATCTTGTTAAGTATTGTTTACACTTACTGGCAGTAGGTCTCCAGGCAGGAGACTTTCCCATCGCTACCTAGAGACACTAGAGGCTGAACCTTGGACCTTTTTCTCATGTTGTGTCACTGAGCTACTGAGTCATGGATGATGGGAGTTGCCATCCAACAACATCTAGAGGGTACCAGGTTGGGAAGGCTGGTTGAGATGGATCAGTGATCTCACTTAGGATATGGTACCTTCATATGTGTCCAGCCCCTGTTTGTATCATTTACTACAATTCACCTAATGAACCAGACCATTGTGTAGTGCAGTGTTGGGAATATGTGGCCCTTCAGATGTTGCTCGACTCCATCTCCCATTGCCCCTCGCCATTGGCCATGCTGGTAGAGCTGGTAGGTGTTGAGTCCAACAGTGTCTGAATTTCCCCATCTTTATAGTAGTGATTCCCACCTCTACCCACCCCCAGTGCAACCACAACTGATGTGAATTGCAGTGCCAGTGTGGCACAGTATTTAATGTGTAGGACTACGATGTATGACTGAGTGGGCTCAAATTCACACTCAGCCATGAAAGCCACTGCATGACCCTGAACCAAGTCACTACATTTGTTCCATGAAGTGGGAGGATTAAGCCTGATGTAACGTTTCCTCTTCACAGAAGAAAGGGCATGATACAATTCCACTGGAATGAAAAATCCACAGGGGTTTGAAGACAAGGATCTAAACTTCAACTTGCTGATTTTTGTGTGAAAAAGCATGTGGCTATTCAATTCCAGTGTTACCCGTTTTGCCCCCCCCCCCGATAAAAAATGTGAATGTCTGAATTGTCCTTCTAGTAACTACATATATTATCATATCCCTCTTAACACCCAAACCACTTTTATTTCAAGCGTAACCTTCCCCCTATGCCCCAGCTGTTGTCTTCCATACCAAACCTTAGGTCTACTTTGGAGGTCAGCTAACTACCTATCAACTAGGCGTTGACCCCCTTTAGCCTGCAAGGTTGGCCTAGATCTTGGCATTACGACTGCATTAATTGATTATTTTAATAAGACAGGCCAGTAAATCTTCAGATAGCTATAATAATGGATGATCTGAGGGCTCCCCCCCCCCCCACTCTTTGTGACATGGCAATAACAGTAGCATGGGTTGAATTAAATCTGTAGAAATAAGGATTGGAGACCTCCTTGTTAATACCTCATTAACAAGGGTCTCCATTAAGTTATTATTATTATTGCCCTGAAACAGATTCTCACCTCTGAACTCCAATCAGCCAAGGATATTTAATGAAAGTGTAATAAATTTTAAGAAGTAGCAGATACAGGAAAGGAAGCTATAAAAGTAGATTGGATGAAAGCTGGGAGCATTTGAATTAGTGCTATGCTGAACATCGCTCATGTGTGTTGTGTGTGTGTTGTTGATGTTTTGCCATTCCCCATCAATTTACAAGAACTATGAAAGGGAATTGAAGCCTGATCCATCCTTAGCCCCCCTGTCACTGAAAGTGACACAAAACCAGTGATTGGACACAAGGACCTAGAGTTCTTTCAGTTGGCAGCAGCAGAAATGGCTGTTGCTCGTCACTGGAAAGCCTAGTCAGAGTCACTAATTGATAGCTGGATCAATTATGTCTGGGGCATAGCGCTCTCAGATCACCTTCTGCAGAGGAAGACTATGAGGGGCATGTCAAAAGGCGATAGGTTTCAGAAGAGGTTTGGTTTCCATTCTTCTTCAAAAATAAGGGACAACGTCCCCTAGTCTTGCAAGGTCCTCTGTGAAGAGGTCACATGAGCACTCATTGCTTGTGGGGTAATGCATGAGACACAGAAACCTGTGATAAGATGAATCTTCACATGTGTGAGAGCAGAATGCTCACAGCATTACATTAGCAAATACTTTCCTTGCTTCTATATGGTGCTTTCATTTGTACAAGCTTGTAACTGAATTAACTTTGTGTGGTTACATTTGGTGTTTGTAACTGATTCTGTGGCAGGGATTGACAAAGATGTTGATTTCTGTTTCTCTCAGTTCCTAATTTTTCCAGTCTTAAGTTCAGCTCTCCACATTACTGCACCACCTTTGACATTGTTTGTTTTTTTTTTAAAAAAAGAAAAGTCCTTGTGAAAATTCATCAGCATTTGTGGGCGGATTTCTCCTACTATACACATTTTTATATGCCTTTTTGCCTTTGCACATTTTTACAAGGCAATTTCCCCCAGTGTAATTTTATTTTCACTAGTTTATTCATTTCTCTGCGAACTTTACCACAGTTGATGTAGTTTTTGTCTACATTACTGTACTTGGCTAGAGAACTGCATTGCAAAATTCTGATGAGTGCATTTGCGCAAACCTCTTTCCTTTTGATGAGGAAGGATTAGTTAACTGGGTCCCTCATAAGTATGGTCCTCTGCAATGGAGAGTTGCATGGAGTTAGTTAATAGGGCGCCCTTGATCAATCTCTGGGATAATTATGAGACTCATAGAAGGAAACGGTTTCTTATGATATGCTTTATCTAAGCCATCTAGGGCTTTATTGGCTATAACCGGAGCCTTCAATTATGCTTGGAGGAGAATATGGAGCCTGTGCAGATGCTGGAGCACTGATGTAATTTCCCAGCATCTTGCAAAAAAGGGAAGAAGGATTAAGAAGACTAACAAGACCGGGACTCAAGGGCCCTAACGGACCTCTTCCAAATTTAAATTTAAATACTAAAAATTTAATTGAATAGCTGGTTCTTTCCTCTGCTGCCATATGGACTTGGATTTTTGCAAACATATGGGCTGCAATTACCTCACTAAACAAATGTGCAAAGGAGAAGAAAAGGGAGTCTCAGAAAATTCTTGAATGCAGTGGAGTCTGTTCTGAAAGTACAGTAAACTAGCATCCTTACAAAAGACAAGTGCAGGGAAGGTATGACTATTCCCCAGAGCTAGTATCTGGATGTGGTGGAGGGGTTTGAGAGAGAGACAGAGAGAGATACTTTCTGGAGGTACAGTGAATTCCTCTAGATAGGCTAGAGAGGAGATGCTGCTTGAAGAGTGGTGCAATGTTCCCATAGGAAGCCCCAGGTTTCCAACCTGTGTGGGAATGGGTATAGAGCTTCAGCCTATCTAGGATGCTTCTGCCAGTGATGATGCTCAAGAACATCACATGCTTCATGCATAAGCATCTTCATGATAGCTGTTTCCTGAGACATTCATTGCTCCTCTAGGCCATGATGGATGGCGTTGCCTACATAAAAAGGTGTGACGTGCTTTTCCACTCAGCCAGGGAGCATTCTAGGTTAGTCGTAGGTGTGGTGAGATTACCCCCTTTTCTCTCTTGTAAGAGTTCTGTTTTAGTAAAGTTGGGTGTGATTTTATGAAATTTGACCTGATCTAAGTTCCTGAGCCTTCTTTCTATTTTGACCGAGCTTTTTGAAGCAAGGGTCACCCATCACATGGTGGTAGCGGTGGGATGGGTTCAGTTACTCTTGAGCAAAATTTAGAATACACAGTTTTGAATGCTGAGAGGCGTGTGTGTTATTTTTTTTAGCCAGCTGGATAGTTAGAACGTTAGGAGGGAAGGCTGGAGCGAGTTAGATTCTTAAATAATACGCAGGAGGAGGAGGCCGAAATAAACATTACTATTTTCGACACAGAAATAGACATAATAATGGTGAGTGAAGAGAACTGCATGGGCATGGAAGTCCTCTCCAGGAATGCTGGAATGGAGGAAGGTAAACTCCGCCTGGATAGTGGCCAGAAAGAAAAAACTTCAAATAATTACATAGGTTAAAATCACTTAGAGGCTAAAATAACAAAAACTGCCTTATGACAAGATAATTCTTAAACTTAAATCACAGAGGACTGAGCGACGAGATATGTTCAAAGGTCTGTCTCAGTGGACACTGACCTTGGTCTGGCCGTGGCTGTTGAGAGTTCCCTCCAATCCAGACTTTAAGAGAATGCTGATAATGGGCGTTTACCCCTCACGTATCTCTCATCACCTTTCAATGCCAGCCTCGAAGCCTTGACAGGAGCCAGCTGTGTGGAAGCTCATTATTTTGGGAATTCTAACAAGTTTCCACCCGGCCCACAAACCAACCTTAAAGGGGTCATCCATCACAGTAGAAATGGGAGATTGTGCCAATATCGGTTCCTATCCATTTCTCATTTTTCCAATCTTATGTTCCGTTCTCAACATTTCTTCAACAGTTTCCAGATTTTTAAAAATCATTTCATCATGAAAATTTGTTAGCAGCAGCAGCACTATTTAATTTATATACTGCTTATATGTCACAATAGCTTCTAAGCGATTTACAGGTATAAAATATCCACAAATAATGAAAATGCACAAGAAAGCAAAACCATACTTAAAATATGCAATTCAGCAAGTTTGCTCAAAAGCATAACAAAAAGAAAAGAAAAAGAAAAATTAAAACAATTAGATCAGACAGTTCAAGTTCAGGGGAATGCTTGTCTAAACAGAGCCAGAATGTCAGAGAAGAGCAGCGCTGGATTATGCTAAAGAGCCCATCTGGTCCAGCATTCCTGTTCTAACAGTGGCCAACCCAATTCCTATGGGTAGTCTGAAAGCAGGACCTGAAGGCAACAGCACTCTGCACTTGTCATTCCCAGCAACCGGTATCCAGGACAAATATGTGAGCTGGACAGTTTTATAGTGATGGGCATCTGCACCCTGGTGGCCTTACCCCAGTTCCCAGCAGATGAAAGATGTGACCATGGGCCCAGATCTCCGGACCAGACCTTGCTTCCTGTAATCTCAGATAATTGGCTCCTATTGTAACTTTTGTAGGCTGATGAACATTTGTTCTCCATCTCCTTCTTTCAAGCCAATTTCCAGCAATTAGGAAAAATCAGACACTATTTCTGCCATCCCAATTGCTGTCTCAGAGGGGACTTTCGCTGCCCCAAATATTCAGAGAACTTTTTGCTTTGCTCTTAACGAAAGTTTGCCTACAAAGTGACTCATAAAAAGCTGGTGTTAAAGGAGCCACATTCCATGAGTCTGTCATATATCCCAGAGACGTCTTTCTTCCCAGTCAAATGAAGTGGCCTGCATGCATCTGCTTCTCATCACAGAGATGCCTAAGCAGCACAAAGGCAATATTGTCAAGCAGCTAACAGTTCTTCTTCCAGGAGCAATTGGTTTTAAGCAGGCTTATGAGCTAATTTGCTTGAGTAAATGTTGCAAAATGTGGTTTGGTTGCTGGAGTCACATTATTAACCTGGAATTTACTAGGATGGAATTTGAACTCTTGCGGTATGGAAGGGTGTATGTGTATGTGTAGTTTAGACATGAGACCTGAGCCAGGGTCTTTGGAACACGCGTGCAAATGATGTCGCATGACAGCTAGCCAATTTACTAAAGATCTTTCCACCCGTGGCATATACGTCTGCTAAAACTTTAATCTACCATTTTAAACAGTTGCCCTTGCCCTCTAAGCGTTATACGAAGTGTATCTCTGTCAAAAGGCAGAATCCCTATTTGTTAGCCTCTGTGCATAGCACTAATATGTGGGGGCAGAATGGGGATACACACCCTGTGAGCTCTAACATTTGAGCGTTGAACAGGGATATCTGCAGAGGGATGTGTACACATGAGTGTCTAAACATGTGTTTCTATGCAATCAATGCATGAATGTCAGGGATGTTGGCAGGGAGTGGACATTGATTTGTTCACAAGCTTTTAGGATCTCTGCTAGAGCATTTTTGGCAACCTCAGAAAACAAGATTCTGCAGGAGAATCTGTGATGGTGAAATAGCATTTTCTTTTCAACAGGAGTGATGTTGCTGCAGTCCAGGCTTTATGTGGGCTGGTCTCAAAAGTTCTACTGAGGCACTCCTGTTGCAGTCCTATGATTCTGTAATATGAGCATCTCTTGAAGTTCTATGATTAACAGCTGCTAAGGCAAACAGCTGTATGGGAAGATGGGAAGGCAGGATTACATGAAAATGTAAACAGGCTCGGCAGCAGTGAAGAATTAGCAGTGCAGTTTTCTCAGTAGACATGCTGGTGGGAACTCGCTCTGGATAACATGACCGTAATTTTAGTCATGCTCATTTATGCCAGGGATGGGGAACCTGTGGCATTCCAGATGTGGTTGTATTCCAGCTCCAACCACCCCCAGCAAACATGGCTGACCATCAAAGTTGATGGGTCTTCGGAGTCCAGCTACAAATGGAGGGCCAGAGTTCCACGATCCCTGATTTATGTCAAAATGGTTTGTGCTTTAGATCCAGGCAGCCATCACTCACCACAAACACATACAATAAAGGCTAGAGCATAGTTGGATATGTTAATGCATTTCAGTTATACTGATGAAATACCTTTTTATTATTTTAAGAGGCATTTTAAAGTCATTTCTACTGTTACAATTAAATTGTATCTCTGTTGCATTTGTTAAGCTTATGGTACACCGCTTAGAGACTATTATAATTAAGTAGTATCTTGTCAGAAAATAATAGTAATGATACTGTAGCTTTTTTGTTATGGGCAGCCGTTTATGGAACAGGGAGGTGTAAAGAATGGTGTGTTGGCTAGGATTGGGTAGACCCAGGTTCAAATCACCACTTTTGGCCAGTCACATTTATGTGATTAAAATTAAATAAACATAAAAATAATCTATGGCACGTCTTTTTTTCCAATTCTTTCACATAGAGCCCTAACTATAAAGCAATACTGCAGCACAGATTTTTATAGGGTTGGTCCATCCCCCTGCCAGCTATGAGGTCAGTCTCTTTGAAAGTTGTGTCTCCTATGTTTAATAGATTTCTAATTAAAGTTTTCTTGTAGAAGTTTTGTTGTTGCTGTTGCCCTGCTATGGTATTTTAGACTAGTAAGAATAATTGCATGTAATGACATAAGTGATACGAAGGCATGTAATTAGAGTGTATGTGTTTCAATTGCTGTAAAAGGGCTTGTGTAAATGTAAAATTTACAAAACATAAAACAGTGTTAATATGTTTACTTTGGTGAAATTAGCCTAGTTCTCCAAACAGCAAATAAGGCAGTAAACAGAAGCTGATTTACACCCAAGTCGGACCATTGGTTTGCCTAGATCAGTGTCTTGTCTACAATGACTGGTTTCAGCTCTTCATGGTTACAAAGAGGGGACATTCATCTACCTGAAGATGCTGGGGATGGAACCTGGGGCCATCTGTATGCAAATCAGATGCTCTACAACTGAGCTGCAAATTTTCCCTTAAACATGCGTCTCTAGCCTATACCATTTCATTATGCAAGAGAGGTGGGTTCTCATGACTGAATGTTCCATGAACAGTTTGCCAGAGTGGACTTCAAGACATCTGGTTAATAGGATGGCTCCTTCCACGGAATTGGATAGGCAAAGCCTTTCAAATCTTTTGCCTCTTCTTCTGCCCTCCAGATCTGCCCTGCCCTCTGGTCAGGTTGGCATGGATTTTCCCTCTTTGTGTGGGAAAAAAATATCCGACTGTTTTTGATCTTGAGTTTGCCTCCTCAGCCTCTTCCTTGTCTGTCTTTGTATATCTATCTCTGTGTTAAAAAAATAATAATTTATAAAAATCATTTTAGTTCTCCCTTACCTTTATTTCTTGATCACCATGAGGTCTTCCCTCTGCCCTTAGTATGTAAGCACCTTTGGGCTAGAGGAGCAGGATCAACAATTCCCTGACAGAAGCATTTCCTTCAAAATTCTTGACTACCATGCAGGTAATATCCTAGAAAGGGCCCGTCTACCATGAGACAGGCTGCGACAGCTGGAGAAGCTCGGGAGAAGTGACATTGCCTCACAATGAGATCTTGCGAGATCTTGTGGAACTCTTGTGAGATCTCACTGCCACTGCTTTGCCTCACTTCTGTGGTAGTGGGGCATTTCTAGGGACTGGAGAGATCTCATGGACTTCTTGCAAGATCTTTCCAGAATCTGGAAGCTGCAGCCTCACAACCCTGTGGTGGGGAGAGTGGCAAAATGCCTCAGGTGGCAAAATGGGATGGACCATCCCTGTTCCCTGGAAGAACTTTGCTGCAAGTCTACTTTCATGGAAATAAATTCCACAAAATGCACCAGGGTTACACCTGAAGGTCTGAGTTACAGCAGACTGTAAAGAAAGGCATTTCAACTGCCATTGTCTTTGAAATTCTGTCCTCCCCCCCCCCTCAGCTTTAAGTATGGGTGGAACGTCTGGGGTTATAAGGAAATCTACGAACCAGGGAAAGATGTTGGTATGTAAGATTTGAAGATAGGCCAGCTGGTCTCCATCTTCAACTGGTTCCTGGAGGGCCAGGAAGAAATTAGTCTCACAGCATAGTTGAAAGAACACCTGGGCTCTTACCTGGGGCGCCGATTCACATGCGAACAAATTTATCTTTGTTTCCTTCCCACAAACACACCTAGGAATTAAGTAATGACCTGTTTTTGTAAAAGAGGGGAGAAAAACCCAACCCAAACCTCAAAATGGTGTGACTCAAAGCTGTAAATCACTCACTATTGTTCCATAAGTTATTTTATAGAAATCTTTACTGAATACTAAAAAGAAAGAAACACAAGAAAAAGAAACCTTACAGCTCCTGAAGTCATGTCATTTGATCCTGAAAACATTTAAGATGCGAGTTAAATAGATATTTGAGGGCATGTGCTTTGGAGAAAAATAGCTGGCAACTGGGCACCAGGAGAAAGAGTTCTTCTGGCTAAAGGGCAAGCTTTCACTGCCTTCCTGCTCCTTTTCACAGGCTAAGGGCACATTCATACCATACATTTAAAGCCCTATGGTGCCACTTTAAACAGTCATGGTTTCCCCCAAAGAATCCTGGGAGCTGTAGTTTGTTATAGGTGCTGAGATTTATTAGCAGGCCCCTATCCCCTTCAGAGAGCTACAATTCCCAGAGTTCCCCTTGAAGAGGGACTGACTGTCAAACCCCTCTGAGATACACCTACTACCTTGTTTACAGTAAAAGACTTCTCTTAAGAACGAACAATGTGCTTTAATTTTATTATAACGAAATATTACTAATTCTCCTAATTAGTGTCATGTTACCAATCAAGGTAGTAAGCCTAACTCACAACTTGAGCAGATGGTGGATTAAAGATTTTGTTAGTACTGAGTTTCTTAATACTGAATTCTATTCTAGAAGTATATAGATCATCATCAGGAATTGTCCAGATTACCAGTTGTTCCTTTTACAAAATAAATGTACTGTATTTGAGAATTCTCTTTCTAGTTTAAATTAACATTATCGTTCTATGTTCTAATTTCCTCCAAAAGGATGGAAATATTCTCTGCTCAGACTTTCAAGGTAACCCCAACAGATTTACCTACTCAGGTAGTGAGCGGCTAACATCTACTCAGTCAGATATTCATGATATAGTGCTCCATTTTGGGACCATATCTCATTTGCATGTTGCCTGCATGCGGAAGACATATATTTTATCCCTCAATCAGGTCATATCGGCACATGAAAGACACTTCCTATAAATTCTTTACTACAGCTTGTGAGTCAGGAAATATTTTATGGAAGACATATTTTAGGTTGTCCATCCTTTGATTTCCCTCAGAAACTAATAAATAATCAACAAAAACATGATTAAAGGCATTGCTTGTGAACTTGTATCCAGAAAGGGAGGCTAGCTGGTAGAAAAATCTTTCTGATCCATATCCGTTTATTCTCAGAAACGGAATTCTAACTTAGGTTTAAAAAAAAACACCAACCACCCTCATGAAGGGTTTGACTAAGTTTTGACATCAGATTCTCATCCTCAAAATATCTGTTGAAATAAGGAGGGGGGAGAGGGTTTGGCACTTGAAATTACAGAAGGATGAAATGGAGATTAGTAAGCCAGAGAAGCAAATTACTTATCTGTAATTGGAATTTCTTAAAATACACCTCCTTCCCGCCCTTTGAAATAATATTCAACCAGTTTTCAATCAAATGCCCATATGAGCTTGGGTTTAACCCTTTCCTTGAGGAAGCTGCAGACTTAGGCTTTGAATAAGGGATTTTTATGAATAGGTTGAGACCTTAGATATAGTATTTTCAGTATAACCAGAGACCATTTTAAAATGAACCTTGTTTTTGCCAAGAACACATATTTGAATGGCTCAGATCTGTTAGTACATCACTGGATAACCTGTATCTGAACAAGAAGCTGCTTTTTTAGTGAACCAGACCTTTGGTCCATCTCACTCAATGTTGTCTACATGGACTGGCAGCAGCTTTCCAGAGTTTCAGAGAAGGAGCCATTGAATCAGAGGGTTCTGAGGGTTATCTAGTCCAACCCTCTGCAATACAGGAATATTTTGCCCAATGAGACCCTGAGTTCAAGGGTCTCATGCTTTACCTGACTGAGTCATCCCATGATAACTTCCCAGCTACCTGGAGATGCCGGGGATTGAACCTGGAGCCTTCTGTATGCAATGCGGATAATGTGCCTCTGAGCTATAGCCCTTCCCTTAGTCCCTAAAAAGACATTGTATCAGAAGTTATGTGTATGAAAATCCAACCTGTGATGTAATGCCTGTGACTATCTCCTCCCATATGCAAATTGACACTTAGTGCCAAAGTTCTGCACAAGTGTGCAGTTGAACTTTGACATAAGTGCTAACGTTGCAGAAGTTACGCTAAAATATTACTTGTGTTGGCATAATATGGATGAATCGTATGTGCATTATGAACCCTCTCTATGCAGAAAGAATATATGATATTAGAGAGATGCATTTGTCCAGTCTCCAGGACATATTGCTGAATATTATCATGCTTGAGATGCGTTTTGCCATGGAAAGTTTAGCAAAGCAGCTCAGTCCAGGGATATGTTACCTGCGCAAGAAACAATATTTGGTATTGCAGGAGCACAGGGACATACAAACAGTCTGATTCACCACATAGCAAGCACTGTACATGAATGCTTGCCTGCCATGCCGTCACCCTGTAAAACAAGCCAGAAATAAATGTAATCAAAATACAGCAGAGAGATAACAACACAGTAACTGAGTTTCCATTAAAAACAATCTCATGGGAAAGAATCTGCTGAAAAGCCCTCCAGAAAGAGGTAATGTATTTCCCCCGGTTCAGGGGTGGGGAGCCGCCAGGCCACCTCTCTATTTGGGCCTCAGGATTTTACCCAGGCCACACCCCTTTCCAGCATTGCTCCTACACCCTGTGAGGTTCCATTTACCCTGAACCAATGGCACCAATGTGTTATTGCATTAGCATATCAGTGAAACATAATCCCAGGCCCCTGGCATGCTGATGTGTTGCTCCTGGTTTAAATGTGATAATGCTTGCACAACATCCTGGGAAGGTTGTCTTAACATGCCTGCTTTAAACTGGGCACGAATATTCAATCTCTTCCAGATTTTAATAATAATCTAGAATTTGCTCCTCTCAGACCATATCAATAGTTCCTTTTGCTACACATCAGATGCAACCATTCCCCTGCAAGAGGCTTGGCTTGTTTCCTACATATTTTCAGCAACAGCCTCACCTTTTGCTTGCTATCACACACCAAAGGCAGAGAACCTTGAGACTGATGTTCATTAAGCACCGTGGCTATTTTCCACATGGAGCTCATTAATAAACGAAGCAATCAAACTGCCACTGCTTTGGATTGGCTACATTGGCCAAAGGAACTGAGTTGTGGTGCTTTTGCTGGGGGAAAAAATGAGGGATAAAATGCTCTTTGAACACTCAAGATTTTATTTAAGAGAAAAAAAAAGCCAGTGCAGAAAGGTTGCATTTCTATTTGGCTCCCTCGCCCTGCATCTTGACCTTCTAATTACTTTATTTGAAACAGCACTGAGGGTATAATAAAAACTGGAGGTTGTCTCTCGTTTGCTTTATTCATAAATTAAAGCTGTTAGCTTGGCGAGGTGAAAGTCGAGGCAGGGTGTTCATTACTACACAACTGACGGCTTGTCAATAGCACTGCTTTTTAGTTTGTTCTAGTCAGCACTTGTGTTCATTTTGTTGGGCCTTTGGGAAATAAATACAACAAGATTATACATTTGGAAATACCACAAGAGTTCATGGGGAAAGAAGGGAGGGGAAGGAGGTGGGGGCGAGGAGAGAGAGAAAGAGAGAAGGAGAGAGAGAAAAGCAAATGATAAATTATACACTGGGTAGAAAGTGACATGCTATCTTGTGCTATTAACAACCAGAGATAATTGCAGTGAACTGTAATTGCAAGTTTTGCAACTTACAGTACACAGTGTCCAACATCAATCTT